ACGTTAAATAATGATTACGTCTTTTCGCTGTTTGTTGACCCACAGAAGATTCGTTTTTTAATGCTTTACTGATTGTATGTGCGTCCTGTACGGCTTTCATGAAACATAAAACTGTTGGACCCATGTCCTAAAACAACTTATGCTTCTCAGAAACATCTAGTATATAATGATTATGATATTTTGGTCAACCCATGAAAATGAGTACCACATTGCTGATGTCTAGGCACGAAATTGAGCAGAAGACCGCCCGCTGTGACCACAAAATGAAGAATTCCAAAACTGATCTGATCAACATCATCCAGACTGAGTCATCGTTGCGACGATTTGGGCACCTATTGCGAACGCTTCCAAAGAAGAACGGTACAAAACAGCTACCAGCTGTTCAACCGACCGGCCAGAAACCAATGGATAGGTGCCTCGGAGGACTCTGCTCCAGACTCGGGTTATCTTCGGCCGAAGTTAGAAGATATCACAGTATCGGAAACGTTGGAAACGCTATGCAACTCTAAACGATAAGCAGTCACCGAAGCTTACTGATTGACAATTGTCATCTGACTGAGCTACCAGGGAATATCGAGGTTTTGTCATGACAGTTTATTTGCTTACAGATAGTGGTAGATTGTGTCGTAAAGCACCCTTGTTTAAACCACTTCCCTGACGTGATGTTGCCTCCGATGCATTGCATGTGATCAAAAACTACGGATCCGAGGGCTGCTTAAATAGCCCCACTAATTGAGCGACCAGAAACAACAAACAACTCGTTTATGCCGAGTAAACATGGCGTCTGAAATTTAAACGTTCCAATTATCGCTGAAACTCTAAAGCTATTTTGTGGCAGCTACTCTGGAACGTCATGATCACGTTTTAACTAAGAACATTTATGTAACGGTCTGTTTATCAGTTTACACTCAAACCAATCTGCTCATCCATCTACGCATCGATATTTATTATATTAACAATATATTATATTAACATCATATTTCTACGGCATATCACAAACCAGTCTATTCATCTGTCTATTAACTGTATGTATCCAATCTATTTCTTTACTTACTCACACATCAATATGTCGATCTGCCTACTAATCTAACAAACCACCAAACTACCTATTCGTCTATTCACCTAATTTGTTCGTCAATTTAAGTTATCTGTCAACCTGGTTCTTTATAAACTGCTGTAAGGAGAAATC